TGGCGATGGGTTTCTGTGTTCCGGGAGCGGTTTCTAGGCAGTGCAGCCACTATAGATCACACCACACACTCCTTTCCATGCCTGCGTGGCCGTGTCATTGGCTGCCCAGGAGTGAGTAGGGCTCTGCTTCCATCTTCTCTCATCCTTATTGGACGGGCGTTAGCCCTTACCCTTAACGGGCAACCGCTGCCCTGCGGCTATTAATTGGGTTCCCTTTCTTTGGCAGTACCCACAGGAAGAGGCCATGGGCCCCAGGATCCCGGCCCAGGTGCGGGTTCAGCTCTGGTTTGGGCTGGCTGTAGACGAGAAGGAGTTTAACAAGTACGCGGAAGGGAAGCTCTCCGTCTTTGCAGAAACCGTGAGTGGACACCAGTGTTCATTTTCCCCACCCTGTGCGGAATGAATTTTGTCACGTGCACCAAGATAGAGGGGATGTGTCACACGTCCCCTCCATATTGGTGTACATAACAGAATTCATGTGGTGGGGTGGGGCTGAGGGGTTCGGCATGTGGGAGGGGGCAGAGGGTTGGGGTATGAGGGGATGTGGGCTCTGGGGTGGGGCTGTGGATGAGGGGTTTCGGGTGCAGGCTGCCCCAGGGCTACAGCGGGGAGAGAGGACTCCATCTCTCTCTCTCTCTCTCTCTCTCTCTCTCTCTGCAGCAGTACCTGGGCTGGGGGGTGGGGAGAGGCACCTCTCCCCGCTGTGGTGGGCCAGGGCACCTCTTCCCTGGCTAGGGCAGGTCCAGGCTGGGCCTGGTTTCAGGCTGAGGGAGGGGCGCCTGTCCACTGGCCACGGCAGGTCTGCCAGGGCTAGGTTCCCTGAGCGCCTGCCCGGCACTTAATAGGCTGCTGCGCTGTCCTGTGGCCACGCAGTTTACAGGGAACTTAGGTTGACATGAGTTCTGGATCCTTGAGTCCTCCCCCTTCTTCCCTCTAGGGGCGCTAATGTGGCAGGTAAGCGTCCTGCCCCGGAAGGAAGTGACTTCAGGGCTCTGCGGCTAGTTGGTGCAGAGGAGGACAGCCACAGTTCAGCTGTAAACACAGTCATTCCAAGCAGACCCTGAGCCAGGGGACTGGAGAAGGGGGTTGGATCCTTCACCTCTGGGTCACTCATTCAAATCTCGCTCATGCCAACAGCCACTGAAGATCATGGCCATGCTCTTTGGTGGCCTGCACGGAGTCGGCTTCTCAGGCCACTCCTTCGATATCCCTCAAAGTGTCTGCGTGATGGAATGCTCTTCCCTGTGTAATGAATTTACTCCCAAGTAGCTGGTCTCTGGGGGTCTCTTTCTATGTTCTCGCTGTTCCCATCAACCCAACTGTTATCCTGAAAGTCTCTCTCATTTTGATGTCTTAAGTATGAGAACCAGGTGAAGCTGGCGCTGGTTGGGAACTGGGGGACGACTGGCCTGACCTACCCCAAATACAGCGACGTGACCGGCAAAATCAAACTGCCTAAGGACAGTTTCCGTCCCTCCGTCGGCTGGACGTGGGCCGGGGACTGGTTCATCAGCCCGGAGAAGACGTGAGTAGATCGCTTGATGTTATCTTACTCTGTCCAGTTCTGGTGCCCACAACTCAAGAAGGATGTTGGTCAACTGATGAGGGTTCAGAGAAGAGCCATGAGAATGATTAAAGAAAACCTGCCTTATAGCGGTAGATTCAAGGAGCTCTGCTTAGCCTAACAAAGAGCAAATAAGGGGTGATTTGATCACTGTTTATAAGTACTCGCAGGGGAACAAATATTTGATAATGGGATTTTCAGTCTAGCAGACAAAGGTTTAACAAGGTCCAATGTCTGCAAGCTGAGACTAGGCAAATTCAGAAGCAAGGTGCATATTTTTAACAGTGAGGGTAATTAACCATTGGAACAGTTTCCCAATTTACCAGTTCTCCATCACTGACAATTTTTAAATCAAGATGGGATGTTTAGCTAAAAGCTGGACTCTGGGAATTATCGTGGGGAAGTTCTCTGGCCTGTGATGCACAGAAGGTCAGACTAGATGATCACAGTGGACTCTTCTGGCCTTCGAATCTATGAATCTGTCCCTCAGCCAGGGGCACGGGAGCTCCCTGTTTAAATAGCATTTGTCAATTACAAGATGTTTCATCCAACGGCCCATAAACACCTAAGGACATGTAGTGACCTGATAGCAAACCGTCCGGCAGCCTAGAGGGATGTGGGTCCGGGGCCCAGCTCTTCCCCTGACAGCTGTTAAGAATTCAGTGCACTTCCTAAAGTATTAAACTAAAATGATTTGTATTGCAGTAGCATCTATCAGCCCCCGGTGTGGACCAGGCCCCCTGTCGCGCTAGGTGCTGTACAAACACAGACAAAAAAGATGGTCCCTGCCGAAAAGAGCTTCCAAGCTAACAAGCTGCTGGCCCCCAGTGCAGAGCCCAAGTAAAAGAGCTTTGGGTGTGGGACCTACCTGGGGGATTGGAGGGGCTGGACCTGGAAGCAGGTTGCGGGGAATTTCTGCCGCCCAAGAGCGCAAGAGTGGCCCGTGCTGGCTTGGTGGCCAGTGGATCCACTCACTGCACGTACCCACAGGCCTGGGCCTGGTACCCACCGGTCTGTCCATTCCTCTGGTCTGCAGCTGGATAGGGCTCAAAGGGATAAGCCGTGGCCTTTGATCCTGACCCACCTCGCCCGTGTCTTGAGGTCAGATTGGATGATCACAGTGGTCCCTTCTGGCCTCGGAATCTGTGAATCTATGAACTCCACTTGTCCCATACTTCCATGGACAGCGGCATTAGAGAGCTCAGCTGTCTACTGCACAGGGCTGGGAGATCCCTTTGCCCCACCTTCCCACTGCCTGGGGGCTCCAGGCAATGGGGCCACGATCCATGGTATTTCAGGCCTCCCATAGCTCTTGAACTGCCAGGAGACAGTGGCCCTGTATAAGCGGGTGTTACTTCACCCACCATGGAAATGCAGCCACCTCTGGGGTGGGACATGGCAGCTGTTGAATGGTGCACCGCAACACAGGTTCACCCAAGAAGCGAATCCAGCTGGAATAGTGTGTCCAGCTCAAACAGCAGTGGGGACCCTGCCGTTCAGGCTCATGTCTGCTTTGGAAGCACCTATAACTAGAGTAGTCAACAATCCAGCTGTATTTTCTAGGCATCTGCTCAGCGGCCTTGGTGAGCATTTTCCGTTCGGTGGGTAACGGGTTGGGATCTAGGAGGCAGCAGCTGGCTGAAAGGACGAGAGTTTGTGGCGGTGATGCGGGGGAGCTCTCAGTCACTTTTCTTTCCCTCTCATCCTCCCTGGATGCAGGTTACTTTACGACACGGACGCCGGTCACATGAGCTTTGTAGAGGAAGTGTTTGAGAATCAAGTCCGGCTTCCTGGAGGCCAGTGGATCCACATGGCTGACGCCTACACGGATGTGGTGAGAACTTCCCTCGCTGGAGACTGAGGGAACCCCCCTGATTGTCCTGGGATTCTGTTCCTGGCTCTGCCACTGGCCAGCTGGGTGACCTTGGGCAAGCCACGTCCCCACTCTGTGCCTCAGTTTCCCCATCTGCCATATGAGGCTAATGATACTGGCTTGCTTTGTAGAGTGTTTTGAGATCTATTGGTGAAAAGAGCTAGGTTATTTATTAATAGTGTCAGTCAAACCACGCCCACATTAACCGAGTGAAAATGTAGCCTCTGGCTTAGATTTTGGAATCACCTACAAATGAGTCAGTTTTCACATCTCAGGCTTCAGGAATGTATTTGCTCAGAGGGATCCGAAAAAAAGTTAAGAGTCACTGAAACCATTTCACAGAGGGGTCGTCGGGAAATGACTGCAGCACTGATCAGCAGATCCCCTTGTGCATTCTCAGGGAATCCATTCTGCACCGTCCGGCCAAGGGCTGTCCGTCTGGGGAGGGCTCCCTGTCTCATTGGTCCATATCTAGCAGAGCAAGCGAGTCGCTGCTGGGAGTCTCAGCACAACCCAAACAATGGAGCTATTGCAGCATTTCCATCTGTGGGTACTATTTACAAAGCATCAGGACGGAGCCTGGCGCTGGTGCTCTATGGTCCAGAGGGCTCACAGGCTAGAAGCAGAACTGATACGTGTCAGGCTTTGTCGCCAGCCGTCTTGGAAGTCAGCGTGGGCTGTGGGCACGCTCATAGGCCGAGTTTTGCTCAGTAAACGCTCCCCATGTCTTCCAGAACGGGGAGAAAGTGCTTCCTAAGGAGGAGATCGAGTGTCCACCAGGATGGAAATGGGAAGACGTGGAATGGGACACGGATCTCAACCGAGCGGTTGATGAGAGAGGTATGCCAGAGCCTTATGTATATTTCAGCTTCCCTCCATCTCCCATCCCCCTTTACTCTGCCCACCGTGGCCACAGCCTCTCCAGGGAGTAGCCCTGCACCCAGCTTCCCCATCCCAGCCTACCTGTCCCCCTTTGTCCACGAGAGCGACAAAACCATTCTACGTGGGTCTAGAGACTTCCATTCACATCAGTGGGAGCTGATGGATCCCGGGATGCGTCTGCGCTGGGAGTTCTCTCCCCCATCAGTCTAGCACAAGGACTGTTCCGCTGACGGTAGTAGGGATGGAAGCGCTCGTGTCGGCAGGGCAAAGGCGTTTTTACCCCTCTGTTCGTGCTGGACCAGCGATGGGAAAGGGGCCAGTGTAGAAGAGGCCAGCAGATCCCTAGCACAGCCATAGACGGGATTCCTCACCAGAAAGATACCGACAAGCGGGAGAGAGAGCAACAAAAGTCACTGCTCCACTCCCCCTGCCACTGCTTTGACAGAGCCAAGCTAAAAGGGGGACCTGCCCATGGCCGCTGAGTCTTGGAAGGGTGTGAATGCCAAGGAGGAAAGGAATGTGCAGGGACACAAGGGGTTACTAGGAGGAGGGTGAGATGCAACTGGGCTGGATCTCCGCTTCCTGATAGTGCGAAGCAGTGAGCTGGGTAGTGTGCTCCCAGAGGAAGGGGTAGGCACCCCATCACAGAATTACTGATTGAAGGGACCCTCAGATTGCTTAACCGGGCTGCTGTGAGTGGGTCTTGAGGCAGCACTGGGACACCCCACTGGAGTTCAAGGCCAGCACGTTAACCACTCAGCCCTCCCAGATGGACAAAGGGGGACTGCAAACCAGCCGGGACAAATGACTAGAAATGCTGGGAACCATCTGGATGCCCCAGAGGGATTTGTTCTAAGGTCACACCCTAGAGTTGAATGTCCTCAGAGCTGCCCCCTGCATGCATCAGCAGTAGGCAGGGCCGCCCGGGGGGGGGGGGGGGGCAAGTGTGGCAATTTGTCCCTGGGCCCCACAGGGGCCCCGTGAGCCCTGGCCAAGAATCCCTTTCCTCACCCGGCGGCGGTCCGGGTCTTTGGCAGCTTTTTGGCAGTGGGGGGCCCTTCAGTCGCTCCAGGTCTTCGGTGGTATTTTGGCGGCGGGTCCTGCAGTGCTGCCGAAGACGCGGAGCGACTGAAGGGCCCCTCGCCACCGAAATGCCACCGAAGACCTGGACCGCCGCCAGGTGAGTACAAGTGCCACGGCTCCCCCGCTTTGCTCCAGGCCTCCTGAATCCTCTGGGCGGCCCTGGCAGTAGGGCATGCACACCCAGGGCCATCTGGTCCAAAGCACAGAGCCTCTAGCACTTGAGCTAAAGCAGGGCCGGCTCCAGGCACCAGCTCGGCAAGCAAGTGCTTGGGGCGGCCAAGGGGGAGGGGCGGCACGTCGGGATCTTCGGCGGCAATTCGGCGGCGGGTCCCTCGGTCCCTCTCGGAGGGAAGGACCTGCCGCCGAATTACCGCCGAAGAAGAAAGCGGCGCCGTGGAGCTGCCGCTGATCGCGATCGCGGCTTTTTTTTTTTTTCCCGCCGCTTGGGGCGGCAAAACCCCTGGAGCTGGCCCTGAGCTAAAGGGGTAACTCTGGCATCCGGCAGCAGTAGTAGGCTGCTATTCTCTGTGTGGCCAGCCACTCGAGGGGGAAGCGACACACGCTTTAAAAGCATGTTGCAGGCAGGTTCTGGAAAGCGAGCTTTGTTATTTAGGAAAACCCTGACTGAAATTGATTTTGAAAGTGTCTGCAATGACTTAGGGGTTAGATGCAAAGGCATTCACCCGGGTATCTCCTTTACTCTGAGGCTGGGAGTACGGCATCGCTATCCCGCCAGACCGCAAGCCCAAGGCCTGGGTGCCGGCAGAGAAGATGTACCACACTAGCCGGCGCCGGCGGTGGGTGCGGCTCCGCAGGAGGGACCTTAAGCAGATGGAGGCTCTGAAAAAGGTATGGCGATCCCAGAGGAGAATAATACCTAGGGCCAGATCCCCAAATAGGGTCCATTGGTGTTGCTCTGTTCCCAGCTCTGCCACTGGGCTGCTGGGTGACCTTGGTCAAGTCACTTTGTCTCCGGTTCACAGTCTGTAAAATGGGGGTGATGCTACTAACCTCCTTTCCAAAGCACTTTGAGATCTGATGGAAAGCCCTGTTTGAGAGCTATGACTTCTGGAGTGGGGTATGACTCTACCTGTGTAGGGGGAGAGAATTTGGCCCTTGGATGGTATGCTTTTCTGGGCAGGGATCTTGGCTTCCCCTCAGCCTCAGAAGCACCTGGGACACTGACACAACAGGAATAATTGTGAGGTTATTGCTGTTTTATTATTAAGTCAATGGGGCAGGTCCCCAGCTGGTGTCAGTCGGCCGTAGCTCCATAGGAGTCAATGGGGCAGGTCCCCAGCT